AGAACTCCAGATGAAAAATGAAGCCGAGAAGGAAAAAGAGAAAACCAGGCTGGAAGTAGAAAAAGAGAAAACCAGGTTGGAAGTAGAAAAAGAGAAAACCAGAGTAAGAGAACTGGAGTTGGAACAAGAAAAAGAAAAAGCCCAGGTCGAAAAAGAAAAAGAGAGAACAAAACAAATGCAGATAGAAGCGAATAGAACCTTGGCTGAGCAAAGGATTGAACATGGGTTGCCAGAGAGCACCACCCAGGTATCACACCCACCAGATGTTAGGGTTAGGGAGAAGGACATTCCCTTGTTTGTTCCCGAAGAGGCAGAGAGCTTTTTCGAGCACTTTGAAAAAGTAGCCAGCATCAAGGAGTGGCCACAGGAGGAATGGGCCCAGCTGGTCCAGTTAAGATTGACCGGTGCAGCCAGGGAGGCATACACCCAATTGTTATTGGAAGAGTGCCAGGATTATGCCACAGTAAAGAGCAGCATATTGCGCTCGTTTCAGTTAACCCCAGAAGCTTATAGGAAGCGCTTCAGAGAAATGATCAAAGTTGGAGCATGTACATTTGCTGAGACAGCAAGAGATCTGGAAAGACGATTCCAGAAGTGGATTGAGGCTGCTGGAGTTGGATCTTATGCTGACCTGAAGCAACTGATGGTCATGGAGAAGTTCTTGGAGATGATGCATCCCGAAACAAAGTTCAAGATCCAAGAAGCAGGGATAAAGGAGGTGAAAGATGCCGCAGATAGGGCGGATATGATTACTGAAGCATACAAGAGCTTGAGGGAGAACAGAGTGAGAAGCGAGGTGAGACGCAGCAATGGCAGATCCAATGGAGTCTGGGGAGGAAGAAATTATGAAAGACCCAGAAGAGTCTGGGGTGAGAAGAATTTTGATAAATGGGCAGATAAAAGTAAGTACCCTAAAACTCAGAAGAGTAGGTCGCGCACTTCGTCTGAAAGTGAAGATGTAGGAGCTAAACGAGAAACTAATCGTGATCCAGGGAATCAAGAGTCCAGTAAAGCCCCACAGAGTGCAGGTAGTGTACCTGGCTCGAGGAACTCTCATGTGAGTGGACAAAGTCAGAGCCGCTTTGGTACGTATAGGAGAGATTTCTCCCAGATGAGATGTTACAATTGTAACGGATTGGGTCACGTGATGCGATATTGTCGGCAGGGCAAGAGAGTTGTGACCCTGGCCATGTGTGACCCCCGAGGTAAATATACTAATGTGTTCGAAGACAAACCACAGAGAGCGAACTTAGTGAACGAGAGGTATAGGCCGTTCATGAGCAAAGGTTGGATCAGTATAGGAGGCCAGCCTGAAGTAGAAGTTGGTATCTTAAGGGATACCGGAGCTAATCAGAGCTTGATTGTGAGAAGCCTGATTGGGAATGATCGACGGTTAGCTGGCAGGAGTAAGATGAGAGTATATGGGTTATTGTCTGAGAGTGACATGCCCGTATGTACTGTCCAGCTAAGGTCGGAATATGTGTCGGCGGAGGTGATGTTGGGAGTATGCCCCGACATACCTATTCCAGGAGTCCAAGTGATCCTGGGAAATGACTTGTGCGGGACAAAGGTGTTGCCAAGAGTCATAGCGGAGACTGTGCCAGAGGAGAGCCCAGAAGGCCACGGCATGGGTGGGACACCTGAGAGTGTGAACCTGACTGACATCCGAGGAGATGAGTCAGGAGACCGCCAAGCCATTGAATACCCTGTCTCGGTAGTGATGAAGACAGAGGTGGCCGACAAGGAAGACGCTGGAGAAGATGAGACAGTGTCAATTAAACCGGTAGAAGATATTGATGTAGATATAGCATGGCTGTTTGATGAAGGTCCAGCCCAGAAAAATGAAGTCTCGGTGAGGTCGAAAGTGAAGATGGCCCAGCCGAAGGAGAATACTGTGAAGAGAGTTGACCTGAGTAGAGCCCAGACTGCTGAAATTAAGAGTCGGAAGGCGAATGCAACTGTGCTGAGTAGGAATGAGGAAGGATGTGGACATACAGAGGACGAGAGTAGAGCGTCAAGTTGTCCACGAGCACAGAGGCATTTGGGTAGTAGAGTTAAGTTGTTTGAGATGTCAGGCGTTGACATGTTTCACAGAAAACGTAGAGTAAAGATAGTGAAGAAGAGTAGTAGCCGAGAAAATGAAAGGAGAAGAGACAGTATGTGTGGAGAGATGCCTACGAGCACTCTAGGAGAGGTAAAGCGATATGTACGGTCGAGTGCTGTTGGATGTAGTACAGTGCCCGAAGAAACTTTTAGGGAACGAAGAAGAGTCGAAGGAGAAGAAATGGAGTGGTATAGAAGTGAAAAGTGTAGGAAGAGGATGATGATGCAAGCATGGAGGGATAGAAGAAAGCCGAGGACTCGATGGAAGTCAGACAGGATGAGATCTTGGATAAATGCGGAGACGCAAGGGAGGATCGTCGGTGAAGACGAGGAAGTGAAGTATGATGACAGGAGGCGGAAGTATAACGGCAGTAGATGGAAGTGTGAAGACGACAGAGGAGGTACAGACAGTAGATGTCTGACTCTGGACGTGAAGAGAAGAAGACGAGGAAACGGAGGGTGGAGACAATAAGTAGAGTGGACCGATAGAGTGCAGGCGTCCAAGGAGGACAGCCTAGCCAAGAGGTGCCAGAGAGGTCAGATTATTTGTGAGAGGAACATGTTCCTGGAGAGTTGTGAGCCGGATGTTGCAAGGTGCAACGAACTAATTGTAGACTCCTAAGAGAGTATATGGGGTGAAGAACGAGACAGTGTGGTGGCGGATGTATTATCCCGAGCCTAGCCACTAGAATAACTCTCAAAAATAAGGGGAGGGGAGTGTTATGATCTCAGCCTACAGGAGAAACGAGTCTCCCTCCTTGAGAGTTATTCGTCAAGCCTGACCTGATTAGAAGGTCTAGCGAATATTGAAGTGATTACGCATATGTAAAATAGTTGGTTGGATATGTGTAACAGTTTGAGATTATGGGCAATGCAGAAGAAAATAGATAAATGACGGGCTAGGAGATGTGGACATTTTGCTGGAGGCGTGAGGCTCGCTTCTGGAGGACCTTGACCTCACTTGAGTGCCAGACATCGCAGGGGGAAGCCGCGCTCCGTTTGAGCTCCCGTCAGAAGGGAACCCCTAGTGATATATCTCGAAGAGAAGAGAAGTGTGCGGACGTACCAGCTGTGGAATCGAGCTGGGAACGTTGTGGTCTCAAGTCCTGGTCGACGAGCAGATATTAAATCGCCCAGAAGCATTATTGTGGGCCGTGGGAGCACCCTGACCAGACGCCGTCAGAGGGAAAGCGCCCTCGACCAATTAATCTGTGGTAAGCACGATAAACGCCAGTTCATAGTGATTGCTTATATTTGGTCGTGTGCCCAGCGACAGTAGCGATGTTTATTTATAAGTTAGACATGTTTTAATAAGGCAGAAGGCCTGAAATAAGAGAGTGGAGAGGGAGGAACACGGAGCGACGTCCGCCCCCTCTGAGCGCTGGCGGACGACTGAGGGAGCCTGGCTCCGGATGGAGGAAGACCCTCCCAGCGAGTGAGGACCGCCGCCAGGCGAGGTGGAGTATGGACCCGCCCAAAACGGGGGAGTCCACTCTCACTGTATGTAGAGGACAGATAGAGGTTTGAGGCAAGCATATTGTGTGGTTATTTTTGTTTATGTGTTAAAGGGGAACATTTTATTGGAACGTCGATGGGTTGCAGGTTTGTCTTTGGGGAAGAAGTTGCTGAGAACTTCGAAGCCAGCAGATGATGTAGCTGATGAGACTCCAAGGTAGTGGAGCAGAGGACCTCGAGCTGTGAGGAGAAGCAGCAGTGAAGAGGAGTGTCACGTGCTTCTGTAGAGGGGGTGTAGCAGCCAAGAGAGCTGTGGAAGAACCTAACAGAAGGGTGAAGCACCGTAGTTGCACAAGGAAACTTCATGATAGCAGCCTGGAGGAGCTGCAGAGGATCCTGGTAGTGAAGCCCGGCAGAACCTAAAGACATTAGGGTAGTGAACTTCCAGAGGTAGAAGGGGAAGTTCTGGTGGATTACTAGTAGGGAGTTGATAATGTTTGGTTGTCATTAGCGTGCAAGACGCAGTGAGAGGTGAGTGACTGTTGGCATTCTTATGTCAAGGAGTTTTTTTATACTGAAGTATCAATTAACATTTGTACTGGTATATGTTATTGCATTCAAATGCTGATTTTCTATATATATATGTTATCTTGCTGATGGTGCAACAGTGTATGTAGGCTTGACCAACTTGAGGAGGTTAATAGTATCAGGTGGTGAACCAGGAGATAGGATACCACTTGATAAGCTGATAATAGAGTTCTGATGGTATTGGAGTGCAACCTGATTGTGATATTATAGAGTATAGGATTCATTATTATTATATGTGTGTATGTATCGTGTATGTGCTTTGTTCAGTAAATGTGTCACAATTTGCTGGTGTTTGCCCTTGTCCCAGTGAGGCTTCCCAGGAGGTAGTAACGAAGGAGAGAGAGAGAGAAAAAGAACCAAGAACCACTGCTCTGGACAGGGTAAAAGGTAATACTAATAAGTCAAAAGGGGATTGAGGAGATCATATCACCTAAGGAGAGAGTGGGGAGTCACAGCGGCTCGAGTGGGTGTGTGCACGTGACAACGAGGCTGAGTGTTGGAGCCGCATCCCCTAAACGTGTGACGTGGAGCCCCTCTCCAAGAGCCAGAAGCGCCTAGTGTGATCTCCTAGTGAAGTGTAAGCACTCTACCGAGTTGTGGGTTGGGTTGTCCGTAGAGAAGGATCAACGACGACAACACCAACCAACCCACAGTCTATAATACTCCATACGTAGTTTCAAATGTAGATATGACAGATCTCGAGAAACTCAGGATTCTGTACACCAGTAGATTGATGGTTGAGAGACGAGACCAAAGAGCCGGAGCGCGACCCCCGAAAGTACAACTAGGTGAGTACTCACAGTATACTCCGTAGCCGCTAGCTAGCCCTAACAGTTGATGTTTGTTATGGACAGAGGAAGCTGGCGGTTGGTGGCTACAGCGACTTCTGGGTGGACATATTCAAGGGCTCAGCCAATCAGGACGTCCACTCACTCATCTGGAACTTCCTTCTCTTTGACAATGTCACCAACTTCCTCAAGTAAGTCTGCTGTGTATTAGATGTCATGCTGCCGAAGATTTTTATATTCTCTAAGCCTGTTTTTCTAAGTGGTTCTATTTATAGGTCATGCAAAATTTGCTTCGAAAAGTAAGGTATAAAAATAGCAAATAATATTATGACTATGTTATCTGAATAATTAACACTTAGCGCTGTATTCTTTAATATAATATTTGCACATTTGCCTATTGTAGAGTTATAGTGTTTAGACTCCATCAATAACAAAATTTTATTTCCAACACCTTTATTACTCCCACATATAAATTATGAGGGACTGAGCACTCTCTGGGAAAAGGCAGATTGGCCATCCCCGAACATGGGAGGCAGGCTGTCCTCAGAAAGTGATGTGTACGGAGGTGGGTGACATGTCACTTGATTTCAATGTGGATTATACTTATAACTCATTGAAGCAACAACCTATTGAACCAAGTTCTTATAAGCAAAGCCTTGCCCCTGGCCGGGCTTGGGGAGTAAAGGAACTCCCAGAACCCTCTCCAGGTAAACTCCAAAGTAATATAAGTTGATTAGGTAGAATAATTTTAGTCAAAAATGGGAATGCATGGAAGTAGATTATCATATCAGAAATAAGCCTTTACCAATGTCATAAAGAACTGCAAAGACTATCTATGTGAGCCCTTCTCTTTTATATTTAATATATCATTCTATCGAGTAAATTACCACAATCATAGAGTTACAAATGTTTAGTCGATCTCTTGGAAAGGAAATAGATTACTGGCTTCGAAGTATCAGCCATTTCCGTTATAATGAGGTTATCTTGAGATGATTTCGGAGCTTAGTATCCCCGCGCCCGGTCCTCGACCAGGCCTCCACACCCAGGAAGCTGCCCATGACACCTGACTAACTCCCATGTACCTATTTACTGCTAGGTAACAGGAGCATCAGGATGAAAGAAACTCTGCCCATTTTTTCTAGCCGGCGCCCGGGACCGAACCCGGGACCACAGGATCACGCGTCCAGTGTTCTGTCCGCTCAGCCACCGGCTCCCCGATTTAGCTGAATGTCTAATGTGGTAAAATTACTAGAATGGATAACAAATACCATTCATCTACATCTCGAAAAATAAAGGTTAATAAAGTATTTACAAAATGAATACTTTAAAAAGTATTAATATTGTGAAAAATATCTAAAACAGAAAAAGTCATTCAGTTGGCTCCCGACAACACAGAATCCAGACCCACACCACGTCTGATGGCACACCAGAAGCCCACAACGTCTGAGAGCCTACCGGGAGCCCACCACATCTGATGGCACACCGGGAGCCCACCACGTCTGAGGGCACTCCAGGAGCCCACCACTTCTGACGGCATACCGGGAGCCCACCACGTCTGAGGGCACACCAGAAGCCCACAACGTCTGAGGGCATACCTGGAGCCCACCACGTCTGAGGGCATACCGGGAGCCCACCACTTCTGACGGCATACCGGGAGCCCACCACGTCTGAGGGCACACCAGAAGCCCACAACGTCTGAGGGCATACCTGGAGCCCACCACGTCTGAGGGCATACCGGGAGCCCACCACTTCTGACGGCATACCGGGAGCCCACCACGTCTGAGGGCACACCAGAAGCCCACAACGTCTGAGGGCATACCTGGAGCCCATCACGTCTGAGGGCATACCGGGAGCCCACCACGTCTGAGGGCATAACGGGAGCCCACCACGTCTGAGGGCATACTGGGAGCCCACCACGTCTGAGGGCACACCGCGAGCCCACCACGTCTGAGGGCACAACGGGAGCCCACCACGTCTGAGGGCATACTGGGAGCCCACCACGTCTGAGAGCATACCCAGAGCCCACCACGTCTGAGGGCACACTGGGAGCCCACCACGTCTGAGGGCATACCGGGAGCCCACCACGTCTGAGGGCACACCGGGAGCCCACCACGTCTGAGGGCATACCGGGAGCCCACCACGTCTGAAGGCACACCAGGAGCCCACCACGTCTAAAAGGACTCCGGGAACCCACCATGTCTGAGGGCACACCAGGAGCCCACCACGTCTAAGGGGACTCCGGGAACTCACCATATCTGAGGGCACACCGGGAACCCACCATGTCTGAGGGCACATCGGGAGCCCACCACGTCTGAGGGCACACTGGGAGCCCACCACGTCTGAGGGCACACTGGGAGCCCACCACGTCTGAGGGCACACCGGGAACCCACCACTTCTGAGGGCACACCGGGAGCCCACCACGTCTCAGGGCACACCGGGAGCCCACCACGTCTGAGGGCACACCGGGAACCCACCATGTCTGAGGGCACACCGGGAGCCCACCACGTCTCAGGGCACACCGGGAGCCCACCACGTCTGAGGGCACACTGGGAGCCCACCACGTCTGAGGGCACACCGGGAGCCCACCACGTCTGAGGGCACACCGGGAGCCCACCACGTTTGAGGGCACACAGGGAGCCCACCACGTCTGATGGCACACCGGGAACCCACCACTTCTGAGGGCACACCGGGAGCCCACCACGTCTCAGGGCACACCGGGAGCCCACCATGTCTCAGGGCACACCGGGAGCCTACCAGGTCTCAGGGCACACCCAGAGCCCACCACGTCTGAGGGCACACCGGGAGCCCACCACATCTGAGGGCACACCGGGAGCCCACCATGTCTGAGGGCACACCGGGAGCCCACCACGTCTGAGGGCACACTGGGAGCCCATCACGTCTGAGGGCACACCGGGAGCCCACCACGTCTGAGGGCACACCGGGAGCCCACCAAGTCTGAGGGCACACTGGGAGCCCACCACGTCTGAGGGCACACCGGGAGCCCACTGTGGGAACTGACCTGTGAGATTTATATTTATTTAATTTATATGAATTTATATAGAATTTATATATACGTTAATTTATATATTTCGATAGCTATTGGTATGATGTTAAGCATACCAAATCTTTGACCTGTGAGATTTATATTTATTTAATTTATATGAATTTATATAGAATTTATATATACGTTAATTTATATATTACGATAGCTATTGGTATGATGTTAAGTGGACTGTATTTCTGAATTAATCTCACAAATCGATCCTTACACATTAGGGGGGTTTATATCAAATTTATATATATGCAGCCAATCAAACTACAGTATTAAACTACATATATTGGTATACATTGAGGAGGTTCCTTATCTTATTGTACAGCAGGCTTAGTCCACCAGGTATAACTAGGATGTAGACACCAAATTATCCTCGTTTGAGGCTAGCTTCCATCACCCAGTAACTGATGTATCAAGTCTTGCTTACTCTTCTTGTTCCTTGTTCCTGTCAAAGGGCGCTAGCTGTAAAGCCAGAATCCTAATATATGAAAGCTATATCAGAGAAAACACTGTACAATAGATATGATAAGGACCAAGGCTTAATTATCTTTATTGAGTCGAGCATTTGTGTTCTCACTGGTTCGCCCAATATATACCTAACATTAATGGCCAAAAATGATTAGATAAACGGGTTTCGGAAAACACTTCCCTTGTGATTGTTGACAGCGTGTTGATGATGGCAGAACTTTGGTCTCCATAACACTTCGTCCAAGAGAATTTATAGGAGCTGAAGTTGCTCCCCTGCGCCTCTGGTCTTAACAACAATGGCTGACCACTCCTTCCTCACGACTCTACTGGCTTGTCCAGATATCAGTAACTGATAGAAGGGTCACATTTACTTTATTTTGATACTGATAATTAAGTTAATTCATATAAGATGTTTTTATGATGTAAAAAGTCCAAAGACTTTTTATTTTAAGAATAATTTTTTATTTTAAGTATTTAAGAATAATTCCCAACAGAATAGCTGGTGAAATTATAATAGTATGTGGCAATGATATCCCGTTTTCTATTGACGGAAAATTCCACTACAAGCTACATTTTCTATGGGTTAACTTGTGTATACAACACAGCAGCAATATTATCTGCAATTGCATGTAATATTATTATATGGTGTCGGATTTTCCGACACCCACCACGTCTGGTGGTACACTGGGAGCCCACCACGTCTGAGGGCATACCGGGAGCCCACCACGTCGGAGGGCACACCAGAAGCCCACCACATCTGAGGGTACATCGTGAGCCTACCACGTCTGAGGGCACATCAAGAGCCCACCACGTCGGAGGGCATACTGGGAGCCCACCACGTCTGAGGGCACACTGGGAGCCCACCACGTCTGAGGGTTCACCGGGAACCCACCACGTCTGAGGGCTCACCAGGAGCCCACCACGTCTGAGGGTTCACCGGGAACCCACCATGTCTGAGGGCTCACCAGGAGCCCACCACGTCTGAGGGCTCACCGGGAACCCACCACTTCTGAGGGCTTATCGGGAGCCCACCATGTCTGACGGCTCACTGGGAGCCCACCACGTCTGACGGCTCACTGGGAGCCCACCAAGACCCACTATCTCCCGGCACCTCTCGGCCAGCCCACGCTGGGCACCGTCGCCTATTGGGGAATTACTTGCAGGAGGAATAAGTTAATTTAATTTTATTGTTAATGTAATTGTTGAGTGTAAATTATCTGGTAAAAAGTGGACTGTATTTTTTAAATTTATTCCCAATTATATCCCACATACTTGGGATTTGAAATTGTTAGTAGATTAGGCTAGAACTAGCAATTAAATCAATATGATTTGATTGTTAATGTTAATTTATTAGTTAAAATTAATTTATTTATCTTGCTCTATCCCGGGGTTAGTAAAATAAAGGCCAGCTTAGCTATTCTGGAGATAAAGTTTTCGTGATAGAGGCGTCTCTGGTCAGGATGTGCCCACGTGAACAACGGCGCCTACGTGGTTAGACTTGCAGAAAGTCATGCCTTCTTGTCTAGAGCACACTATGCCCGTCAAGAAAGTATAATGTAATCTACCATACAAATTATATGTGACAAATTTAAATCAAGTGATTTATATAATATATTTTTGAAATCTTACATTTTTGTGTTAAATCTCCGGCCACATAATCGGATTAAGCTTTAATATTAATAAATTGTCCAACCACTATTAACTACTTTGAACCAGATAATGTTAATTCCCTGGAGTTGACGCGGTCAATTCCGGCAGTGAGACACGATGATCACTCGTAATAAGGTGATAACTCATGATGACTGGTCGCACGAGTTATCTCAGTGGTCTTTGGATGGTTACCTTCACCTTTTCCTCCATGTTTATTGAAGCTTGTTTATTTTGCTAGTTTCGGGAAAGAGAGAATAATAAATCAGATACTGCTAAGATTTCTTTAATTGTAATTTAAGATTAATCTTTAGTTACTAAATTGCGTTTATGCTATGAGTAGCAATTATTTATTGAGAAGAGTAGTTTTATTAACCGACTTGTTAACTCCCCCTGTATACGTGGCGTGTGTTACGTCACAGGGATTTCTCTACAAAAGATAAACAGAAGAATTACACGCAATTCTTCGGTTTCAAGTGATAATGAAATAATAATTAAATATAATTGAAATAGTACAACAAACGGAAAATGCTTATTTTTATTGTATATACAATTTAAATTATATGTATAATATTAAGTGTAGATAGGTGAGGAAATTTCCCCACACTCCCCACCCGAAGAACCAGCTAGAAAACGTTCAAAATCTATCAACTTTCCGGTGAGCCAAGGCGATATATGCCCCCGGCTTCGTAACAATCCGGAGCGTTGAATAGGTATGCCAGATGGCAGTACCAAAACCATTAGGGTAAAATCGTGAAACGGAACGTGATCAGACAGTGCCCAGGCAGAGCAGGTGTCCAGACGTCCGCTCGTCGTCACGGTGGTACCAGGAATCCTGGAGTCAGTATGTGGTACAACGTGTCTTGTTGTCTTGTATACTCTGAGGGCTACGATCTGATTACTTATGATCCTCAGTTACTTGTTTACAAATAAAGAAAAAGGGTTTTACATCTCACTGTAAATATAAACAATATATTATTTGACTTCAGCCGTATAAATAAGATGTATAAACAACAAATTCAATTGTTCTGACTATTGAACATCAAATTATAAATCATAAAAGATGGAGAACTGTGAATTTTCTCATCACATGACTGAAAGATTGCTCCGAACGTATGTGACTTCTTGTGACGTCATGTTTTGCTGTGTTTGCTAGTTTTTGCTGGAGCCTCATGACTTGTTCTAAACATAACCATATTTAAAACATGTGGTCCTTTGTTTAATGTTATGCCACCAACATATTCCTACATTCTATGTACTATTGGATAATATTCCACACTAGCCATCATTGAAAAATTTAAGATGTGTAAGATGGAGTGGATCTGTTTGTTCGCTTTCGGTTGTATATATTGGTAGATCTAGCTTAAATGTATTCACTTCAACTTTGCCGTTAAAAATGTTGACAGGGCCAATGAAACTCATCATTTTGCAGTTTTATTATGACAAGGCCATCATAAAACTGAAAAATGAACTTTGGAAAGTTAGTTTTTTCACTTACTTCTCAAGTGAAGAAACCATAAGAAATGTAGAGAAGATTTATGTTTGAATCATAGATTTCATCTTTTCTGTGTTGTTGGCAGGCAGGTGATCTCTGGACGGGGTGTGCTGCTGGAGAACACACAACACCTGCAGTACCTGAGGGAGACCCACCTAACCAACAGTGTAGACCAGGCCTCTGTCAGGCTTATGCTGGAGGAGTGCATTAACCCCTTCAGCGTCGGGGTCATGCTCAAGAGAAACTCTCCACTCAAATCCTCCATTGACAAGGTCTCTTGACCCTTTGTTGAGTGCTTGGGCAACCGGGAACATCTGACCCGGAAAGATGCTCATAATTATATAGTTTGATAATTACCCACGTATAAAATTTGTTTAAGTTGCTTCTCCCACCTCTTTTCTGTGTCAGGTTGCAAAATGTATTGATGGCCATAGCTTAAACTTGGGGTGCGTATTGGTTACATGGCTACAGTTTTGGTCAGTAATTACCCATCATCGCTAACATATTGTGGTCAAAAGAATTATTTCTTAGTTTTCTGGAGAAATGTTTGAGCTAATAATAAATCACAGCAAACATGGAAAGTTAAATAAATTAACGGAGTGGCCCAGGCTATCAACCTTAGCGTACCTAAATCTTTTTTTATTCGCACCAATTGCCTTATTCACAGTCATTGAGTACTTTTCTAAGCTTGTATAAAGAAAAAATATATTATAGGATTTTTTAATCCGAGGGGAATCAAGTGGTCGATTTATCGAATTACGCTGACTCTAATAGCTAATAAGCTGACTCTATTAACTGAAACTTTTGAGCTGTGGTGTTAGAGCCCATGGTGCTGGCCGAGGTGCTGGTGCCCATGGTGTTGGCCGAGGTGCTGGTGCCCATGGTGTTGGCTGAGGTGGTGGTGCCCATGGTGTTGGCTGAGGTGCTGGCCGAGGTGCTGGCGCCCATGGTGCTGGCCGTGGTGCTGGTGCCCATGGTGTTGGCTGAGGTGCTGGCGCCCATGGTGCTGGCGCCCATGGTGCTGGCCGTGGTGCTGGTGCCCATGGTGTTGGCGCCCATAGTGTTGGCCGTGGTCTTGGTGCCAATGATGTTGGCCGTTGTATTGGCCGCTATGTTGGTGTCAACGGTGCTGGCCGCGGTGCTGCCGCCTTTGGTGCTGGTTGTGAGGTTGGCGCCCCATGATGCTGGTTGCAGTGCTGGCGCCCATGGTGCTGGCGCCTATGGTGCTTGCCGGTGTGCTGGCGTATGGTGCTTGTCGGGGGGACTGGCGCCCGTGGTGCTGGCGTCCATGCTGCTGGCTGTGATGTTGGCGTCCATAGTGCTGGCGCCCATGGTGCTGGCGCCCATGGTGCTGGCGCCAGTGGTACTCGCCGTTGTGCTAGCCGTAGTGTTGGGGCCCAATGGTGCTGGCCGTAGTGTTGGCGCCCAATGGTGCTGGCCGCAGTGCTGCCGCCTTTGGTGCTGGCTGTGAAGTTAACATGTAGCTCGCATCTTGTAACTCTCTCATCACTACCTAGCCTCAAAACCTTACATTTGTCAACAATAAACTGCATCTGTCAATCTTTTGACCATTTCAAACCCCAATTTAGATTATCTTGAAGTGATAGTGAGTCTTTTTCCGTGTTTATTACCCTAACGATATTTGTATCATCGGCAAATTAGCAAATATTGCTTCTCAAACCTGAATCTAAATCATTTATATGTATTATGAATAATAGAGGTCCCTGGACAGACCCTAGAGGTTCTGTCGTGTAGTAGGAAATAGTAGTAGTAGTAGTAGTGGAAATAGGCCCATAAAGGATCCCTTTAGTTGGAAATTTTCAACACCCATATACTAAACCCTAGTGCAATAATATATATTTATTGTACTAAGAAATCTAATTTACTAATACTACTGACCAGTAGCGTAGTACCATCTAATTCTAATTAATATGAGACATAATACCATCAAATTCTTCCTATTATTCCTGGCTGCGATTGTGTCAGCCATCCAGCTCTCATGGGAATAAGTATGTGTATAAATCGAATTAAACCCAGTCTAACCTTGTTGAATTTATTAAGGAATATAGATTGGCAATTGATTGAATTCAATACAGTAAATTATATCGATGTTTACTAGTAAAATTTTCCACAGTTGCAATCAAATGATGCAGTAAATAAATGTCATGAACTAAATTTCACCTACGTATATAGATAATTCATCTAATGTCACTAAGGTTTAATGAAATATTCAGCAAAAAACACATGCTTTTAACCAAAGTACGTTATTGTGACGTAAAATAACGTCGATAATGTCTCCTTTTAGTGGGAAATTTGAATAAGATATTGTGAATTATTTGCCGAGTTTATAATTTCTGGCGTCAGGTGGCGTGCGGAACACTGGCTATGGAGACTTGACTGAGAGAGGGCTTGAAATTTGCTAACACTTCATGGCACAGTCTCTGAATACAAAAGACATGAAAATGGAACACCGCATATGGTATCGGCCATATTGGATATGTGTCCTGAAGTTGGTTATCATTATCGTCTGTTTATAGCAACATCCGTGCTTTATCGGACCTCAGACTGATCTGACAACTTCATCTTAACAAGGACACTGTGTTCGGTAGGCTAAGTATCCCTAGAATAATTTGTTGTGGCCGTGACTTATTGTTAACTTAGGGTGCCTTGCTGTTATGCAGAAGGAACACTAAAAAACATCTGAGTGTAAATTTCCATACCCAATCAGCTCTAATTTTTTGAGTATGTGTGTGTGTATATATATTCACTCTTAGATAGAAATTACATAAGATTAATTTTGCAGCATGGCGCTATCTATGAGAGAAGGGTACTCTGTTCTGGTGAATCATGTGTTTCCAGAGACAATATTCATTGAGAGGATTAGACTTGTTACAGAAAGTTGTCTTACGTTTCCACATTCATTATTAGATAGCTAAGCTTCCAGTTTATTAATAAATCAGTAGTTACGTTGGGGTTTCCTACAGTTCTTATCTCTTTACTCGGTGAGCAACCTTAACTGTACCTAATCCTGGCAAGGTCGCCAATGTTGGGGTTTATACTCTATTCTTACTCTGGGGTGACCACCAGTTATCTCAAGGTCACTCACCGTAGCCCTGCGGGTCTTCACTCTAATCCTCTCGGCGCCACTACACGCCAGGAGAGTATCCCAGTCAATCCCAACCGGCCTTCTGATTGAGAAGGAGTGGGAACACACTTCTTGTTTACTTAACTGTTGTGTGGCCCGCCCCAACCATAGGGCTTTACTATTAACCACAAGGTCGCCAACTGGTGTTTTCGGTGTCCAGTAACACCTCAGTGGACTGGTGGAATTAGTGGTAGCCTTGGCAAGGTCACACTCAAAAGATCAGGAATCCGGCAGGTACTTACTCTTATCACTCTTTGCTTTCCAGTATAATATAGCCACAAGATCAATGGAGGGGATGATATAAACACAAAAGTAATTTTGTATTTTACTTAAAATGCATGAAAGATGTCACAAGGTCAATCAATAAATAGATCAGCTGATCCTGGCTGTGGCCGGTAGTTCCCACGAATATTATGCACTTACTAAGTGGCAACACCTCCCCCTCTCGTCAATGTCTAGAACAGCTGATCGCCTGGCTCCGCGCGAAAGTTTATTGCTTGTTTTCTAGATTCACGCGCGCTGTTTCTTTAAGTTCTCCAATATTACTAGAAACTCGCACTCTCGAGATTGGCAACAAATAGCACGTATTACTTAGTTACACTGTACTCGGGCTCAAATATTCGTTTCTACAATCAATGCGACAATGATTCACTGTAATGGTTTTACCTGCCCTTCATTCAATGATATATTATGAAGTATTTAACACTGGAGTTTTCAGTACTTTCTCTCGTGGGCGATAACACAATAATTCACTGTACTCACAAATGACTAATCACTGCATGAACATAGACATATATAATGTATATAAATCAGACATCAATAAATGGTAAATAAATAGTTTCTGGGCACATAGTCTAACTTCCAAATACTGGCATAATATTATATATAATTTATCACTATATGTTCACATCTAAGTCTCTAGAAAGATATACAAAACACAGTAAATTTATCACTTGTTCCGGGTGCCTGTACACACCAATAATAAACATGAATATTATAAGTACTCTTGGTAGTACTACACTGCACACTGGTGCCTTACTGTGACATGGGTGAGACTTGCTCACGACATATAAAATCCTCAGGCTAGATAATATAGCCGAATAATATAGCTAACTAAAGGGGAATGGGGAGGGAAACTAGAAACACCTACTTCAACCTATCCTCCGATGAGAGTCGAGTTGTAGCTCCTGGTCCTCGTGTCGGGAACGCCCCCACACACACGTTGTCGTGTCCTACCGGAACCACTCGTCGTCTCACCGTTTAGCGCGTCGTCTCCGTGCCTTCTTCCCTGCAGGTCCGTGCTCCTTCTCGACTTCTGGTAGGGTTGGAGTCGGACTCCTGGCTGTCGTCTTCTCCCAGCAACGGCTGCCGCCTACGTCTCAGCTGCAGTCGTCTGGAATCCCAAATAGCCCTCTTCTTCCTTTGCTACCCAGTGGCTCTGTCAGCCACAACGCCGTCACGACTGGGTGAACTGCTTCAGACGTCGCCTATGTCACTGCACAGACTTCACTTCTTCTTGCACAGTACCTGACTGGAGCACTTGTTGCTCAATAACCGTCGATTCCCTCTCTGGTTCAACACATGAACTAGGGAAGACCTCACAGAGTACTGGCAGACTTCAGGTGACGCGTAAATCCACGGGAGCGGGAAACAACTGTCAAACTGACAGGACCAATCGTCGCACGTCCAACCTCCTTGACGTGTCGTGTCTGACTGCTGGCGCCAGCGCGGCGCGCTGCCCGGACCCCCTTCCTTCGTGATGTCACTTTCGCCACGGGAGGTTTTCATTGGCTCTCGGTGCCACATTGCTGTCGGTGACCAATCCGGTGCCACTGACGTCACACAGTTTTGGCGGGGAAACAGGAGAGCCAGCGCCATCTTGGCTTCCTAAAGGGCCTAAACCACAGGCCAAAATATCATTGTTTCACAAATTTCTCGGCTCTCCGAGAACACCCCACTCTCTCCCATATATCAAATTGATGCCTGCGACCTAGAGAATGCTTGGGTAAAGTGGACATGACTCTTACTGCAGGCGTGGGAGAAATATAAGGGGGGAGGAACACCGTCACATACCCCTCCCCTTAAAATAAGAGTCATGTCTGGTTAGTGTATGCGGGATAGGGCATC